ACCAGCTATCAATTCCTCACCGACCTTTTTTCCAATCTGTACTAGAAGGTCAAAATGTTGTCAATATGCACTAAGCTGATATATTCTTTTTTTCTTTTTCTTTTTTGTATTAAGCTGATATATTATTTGGCCCCAATGGTTTGAACATCCCTTTCTTTAGGTTTTTATTTTATTTTATTAATAACACAACTATTTCTAAAACTATTGTGGGCTGAAACTCAGACCAGGCCCAAACCTATATCCTGAGCTCACAGTCCCTAAGCTGATAAGACCTAAATCCTACAATAACTTCAAATTTTTAGGACTATTTTGCTTGTTTATGTAATTATTTTGACTAAAAATTATCTTAGTTTGTTATGTGATTGAATTAGTATCATAGAATTAACCTATTGTGTTATTTGGGATATTTAACAGAAAAAGCCTATAAAATTCATACATAATTCTTAGAAAAGAAGTCAAAGAAAAGACTGGTAGATTTCTAAACAAATCCATGCATTGTCACTGACACATTTTTTTTTTTTTTGGAGATCTTTTTTTTTACTATTTTTTATACGGGAGGAATTGCCCCAGAAGTCAAAAATAAAGGGAGATAACAATAAATTATCTCTCAATCATCAGCTCTCCCTTCATCACTCATCAAAGAAGGGGATAAGATGCATTATCAAGATTGGGCATAAATCATTTAGCTAAGAAAAAAGGAAATATTCTTTTTTCTTTCTCTCTCTCTCTAATCTTGTTTATATGGCTTATATCCCAAACTTATTTTGTTTTTCTTTTCTACCACTAACTAAACTTAAGGATGTGCATGGGTCGAACCGAATTTTTTAAAAAATCAAATCGAATTAGTTTAAATGATTCGGTTCGGAAGTAGTTCGGTTCAGTTAAAAACGATTCAATTCGGTTCGGAACCGATTCGGGTCGACCCTCTTTTGAAAAGAAAAAAAAATTAAAAATTAAAAAATAAAGTTATAAAAAGCAATTTGGTTCGGTTTGAAAATAGTTCGGTTTGGTTCGGAAATGGTTCGATTCAAAATAGTTCGGTTCTTAAATTGGTTCTAAAAATCGATCCGGTTCATGAATTGGTTTTTAAAAACCGATTACTTTAAAGGTGATTTGATTCGGTTCATGATTGAGTTCAGCTTTTTGATTATTTTGCACACCCCTAACTGAACCTGTTATTGGGTTCTAATGGAACATAATAATGTAAATGTTATAGCTATTTTATTTCCTTTTAATTTATGAATTTAATTGTTTATTTTTCATCTTGATCTTAATGCTTTTGTGTGAGATTGATTATTATTTGTTATTGTATATTTATTCATTAGATGGTAAGTCACATGATTCTCATAAATAGTAGAATGTGAGATAGTTACAAATTCAAAAGAGAGATTAATGATTAGTTATAAGTTGGACCCATTTTTTTTTTCATTCTCTTTCATTTCTTTAGTGAGTCACATCAATTTTTTATACGTTGTATGAGATAAATTATTTCATATAACATAACAAATATATTCTTCTTATAATAATGCCCTCAACATTGAAAACTATTTAAAAAAAACAAGTTACCTTTCACGTTTTCAACTTTCAAAATTCTGTGTCCAAAAAAATAAAACTTTCAAAATTCAGCTATAACGATGTAACTCTTAGAATTTCCACCTTGATAAATATTCAGGACTTAACACGCAATGTACGCAACCAGAGAAATAAACCGAATTCCAGAAGGTCCAGCTAATTAAGAAAATGTCTAGAGCCCATTTGAAAATGAAGTTTCTTCGTAACTCCCATCAAACAGAGACCTTGCTTCCTTTCAGAATATATCTCATGGATTTACAAACATCATAAATAAAATGAGTGTGGCAAGAACATGTGACAATCATTAAAATAAAGGCAATGGCATGTCAAAGACCGTACCCTCAGCTACCACCAAATTAAAAAAAAAATAAAAAAAAAAATCATTTGTACGTCAATTCATTTTCTCGGGTTGTTAACTTCAAAATTAGTGGCCATGTTTTCTTTGAGAGGATTCTTGAAATTTTATGTATATTCAGTGTGTTCCTCCTAAATGTATCACAAGTGCCGAAAGAGGAAGAGGACTCGTACGGATTGACGATAGTATTCTCTTCGCACATGCGTTACAATTGGAGAGTGCAAACTGTTAATTAATTTTATAATTTTTTCACATGAATATGTAACTTCTAAAATAAAGTTTATGACGCACTATATATATATATATATAATCGTTTCTGCATCAACCGCAGAAAATAAGCTTTGACATTTGCTCTCGTATCATTTTGCATTTATTTTTTTATAAAAAAAAATAATGGGTCTCGATTTTTTTGTCTCGGTGACAGATATTTGCTTTGTGGTGGTACTACAAAAAAATAAAATTATTTGCTCTGCGTCGCTGCTGCAGAAAAATAAAATTATATAATATATATATATATATATATATATATATATATATATAAATGCTTTTTTGTATAATTAGATGAAAATATATCAGAATATATTTTACTTTAGTACTTTCTAAAAAATATATTTTATTTCAAATATCACAAACTTATCAAAAGGTATAGTTTAAGTGATAAAAATTACATATTCACAAAAATTATAAATTTTTTATTATTTAGTCTATAACTTTTATCGTTCAATTTATATTGAAAAAAAGAATACGATAATTTTTTTATAAAAGTACTGAAGTGAGTTTCTTTATTTTATTATATATTTCTAAATTAAATGTAAGTATTATATATATTTTATTAATAAATGCATTTTATAGTATTTAATTTAAAAATTATTAACATTTAAATTATATTATATAATCTGTTAGGAGACGTTTGGTAGAAGAGAAATTTTTTTTTTATCCGAAAATCTTGATTTTCAGAAATATAATTTTTACATTCAGTTTATAATAATATTCAAAAATTAAAAATTTAAAAAAATTTAATTTCCCGAAAATTCGAAAAGAATATCCCGTTCCCATCCTAGCTCCTACCCGTTCCCATCCCTCCCTGCTAAACCAAAATAGGAATTTTTTGGTTTCTTCATCTTGTTGCTGTGTTGGTAGATTGTAGAGTGTTTTGTCTATGCTGCTATCATGATCCTGTTCATTGTTGTGATTTACAGTTGTTTCCCTTTTTTTTTTTGCATGAACGTTTGAATTTGACCCTCATCTAACTTAGAAAATAAAAGGGTCATTAGTGCAATTAAAAAAATTAAAAAATTAAAAAAGTTGTGTTCCACACATATGATCCATGCATGTGTGCTGGCATTTTCCCCAAAGCAAAAGGCAAACGTGTGCCGTACCATATAGAATCAATTCAAAACCTTAAAACTAAAAAGTAAAAAGATTACAAGTAGGAGGGACAATCAAAGAGTGCAAAAGTCAAGTTATGCAGGCATTAGCAAACAAAGCATTGAAATGTGTTGCTCAGTACAGTTTATTAAATATAAATAGTTTGGTGAGAGAAAAGTGTAACTGAGACATAAGTGTACAGTTTAAATGAGGAAAGGAGGGTCCATGACGCGGTTTTAGAGCTGAGTACAGAGAAGCAACAGCTGTGTGATTGCATATGCAAAGGGGTTCACTGTTACAGTCTTACTCTTTTGTGCATAACATCTATATCCTTTCATCAGCACCTGCATATCCTGGAAGCTGCCTCTTAACTCAGAGAGGTTCCTTTTCTTCTCTCTACATATATTATCATAAAAATCATAATATTTTCCAGCTTAATTATTGTAAAAATCAAATATAAAACGTCTACATATATTAATGATGGTTTTTTTTATATATAAATAAAAATTGAACACATAACTTAATACAACCTATCCAAATCATTTATCAGTAGACAAAGTCCTAGACTCCTAATGACTTTTAATGATGGTTACTATATACACATCTCAGACGCAAAACAGACTCTGAAATTAATGCTCTTTACTTTCTGGTCTCTGATTGGTCCATAGGATTCAAATCTAATGCATTAATGTATTGCTACCTTTAACTTCCAGTAGTATTGTTTGAAAAACTGCTCGCTCGTAAGATGTCCATAGTCTTATGGCAATGTTTGGTTTTCTTAAAAGTCACAGACTATAGTTATAAAAGCTTGTTTCTTGCAAGTACAAACAGTACTTTTTGAGATTCCAAATGGGAAATCAAAAACAGGAGTCGTATGAGTACAGGTATGCAAAACTTCTCTGCCAAAAGGTCATATTATATTATTACGTTTCTACTGCTGTAGAATATTCAATAACCTCTCCTTTAGCATCTTAGACTAGCAAACTCAACAACTAGCATCTTGGGTTTGACTAAATCAACAACCAAAAAAGCAAAAGAAGAAAAAAATGTCTAAAATTTTAATGCATTATAGTTGATAACATCATACAGAACAAGTGATCTATGTGTGCTAAAGAACAAGTTTGGAAGATATTTTGATGCTAAATGATTTGTCTAAGCTAAAAAAAGTGAAAGAGGGGATCCTTTTAGGCACAAAATCAATGACATGCAGCAAAACTGCAATACGGTGCAATATAGTATCTTCTCCATAACCAAGTTAGTTTACTAGGATGTTCTCTCTCTCTATCTCTTGGTAATAATAGAGGTTTAATGCGATATTCTATGTGCTCATCATTGAACTTTTTTTTTTTTTTTTTAATCATACAATACCTATATCTCTCAAGGAAGCTTCACTGAGATAAAGGACAAAGAAGTCATTTCAAGAACTAAGTCGTCAATATTAAATTCAATTTAACTAAAATCCATCTGGCAACAATCTCCTATCTTGACTGTTAGGAGATTTTTGCTACCTTAAAACCAAAGTCCCTATCTATAAATATGGCATAGTTACTTCCCAACTTTGAATACAAAACAAAAAAGTCATACATTAAAAGAGTGCAAAAAGAGAGACCTCTTCAACACCCTTTGCATATCAAAGAACTGATCTTCAAACACTTTTAGTTCACTGAAAAACCCATCCTTGCAGCTATCTATCTATCTATCTATCATGGTCAAGATAGAGAACAAGATCCACACAGATCCATCAAAGCCAATGCCATCTTTATCTTCATCATCAGCATCAAATGATCACAAAAAGAAGTATAAGGGAGTCAGAATGAGGAGCTGGGGCTCATGGGTATCAGAGATTAGAGCACCAAACCAGAAAACAAGAATATGGTTGGGATCTTATTCAACAGCAGAAGCAGCAGCAAGAGCCTATGATGCTGCACTTCTATGCCTTAAAGGCTCCTCTGCCAATCTCAACTTCCCTCTGAGTTCTTCACATTACATTCCTCAAGACACTGTCATGTCCCCCAAATCAATCCAAAGAGTAGCTGCTGCTGCTGCTGCTAAGAGTTTTGTGGACAATGCTAACACCCTACCTTCCCCTCCTCCTGCTTCCACCTCATCATCATTGGTCTCATCCCCATCAATGTTATCCTCTCCTCCTGATCAAATAGATGATGATGTTTCACTACTGTCATCCTTTGGGGCCTACCCTAGCTATGATCAAGCAAATGAATCAATGGATATGATGGAATCTTGGTATGGCTTTGATGACCTACAATCCCCAAAATATGTTGATCATATGCTAAATGGGGCATTGTTTGATATTGATTCAACACAGCTACTTGATGATCTGTATGAAGAAAGTGACATTCGCTTGTGGAGTTTCTGCTGAGAGTAATGCAAGCCAACCCAAATTCTTTTTTCTTACAAATTCATATTCGTTTGTCTTCAGTGTTACTACATGAAGATACTACTGACTGCGAGCAAATTAAAATTATATATACTCTAGAAGAAATTCTTAAAGAGATGAGACAATTTTTGGTCTCTCTGTTGTGGATTTCTACATATTTGAAATTATGTATGCATTATTGATCAGAGTTTGCTATGTCCATTTTATAAGTAGTTTTCCATGTGTTATGTAGTTTATAAATGGGAGGGGGGAGGGGAATATGGTCATCAACGTGTCTCAGCTATAATCAATTCCTTTCAGTGATTTTCTATGAGTTTTTGTTACTATTGAAGAAAGCTTTTGCTATTATGACTTATGAGGATCTAGGGAAGCCCTTTATTGCATGTGAAGGTGTCAGATATATGTTTATCAATTCACTGAGAAGGGGGAACTATACTTGTATTGTATGGAAACTTGAACCATCGAAAAGTGTGTCTATTGTTGGACCATATACTCTCCTGCCTGCCTAAAGAATAAGGGGGTGTTTCCTTGTTTCCATGTTTAGTATTGTATGCGTTATACTTTCTGAGAAGCTAATATGGGAATAAATCCTGGTTCCTTTACATTTTGTGTAAAAATTGATTTGAGACCCTATTGATCAACTGGTTGAGTTAGGGAGGAATTAGAAGGGGTGATTGGCCCGTTAAGTTAATCAAACCTTTGTCTTATAGATTACATTCGGATTTAAAAAAATATAGTGTAACGTAAGTTCGACCCTTGATCTTTATGTACGAAAAAAATTAGAAGAATTCTTTAATTTTGGCTATGTATTATTGTGTTGTCCGACTAAAGTTAGTGTGAATTTTAAATACTTGCTCTCATAAAATTTTCCAGCTCCCCTATTGCATTGATCGATATAGTTTTACTCCTGAGCTGTTTTCCTCTTCCTCTCACAGTTTTGGGTTTGGTTGGATATATTTTCTAAATTGATTAAGGCTAAGATTAAGTGGGCTTGAACCAATGCTTTGACTTTAGCTGGTTTTTAAATATTAGCTACGTTTTAAAAGTGGCTAAATAATCTTAACTAGACTGTAAGATACAATTTCGCATTTGGTATGGGCTAAATTTTTTTTGCCCTAACTGAGCTACTATGCTGTCTCCGCCACTGCTAGGATTATAGGATAGCTAAGAGAACTTGATTGTTTGACGATTCCTCAGAATTCATTGTTCGTCAATAGGACCAACATTGTTTGCATTGTATGGCAAGTATATCTAATTAAAAAAAGGTCTTAATGCTTAAGGTTAGGACTTCTGATGCAACACTTTCTTTGATGTTTCATGTTAACATTAACGCGTTCAGAGTATATTATATGCAAAGTCGTATTCTTTAAATAATTAAAGGAAGGACAAACATTATGCTTTTTGGCCAACTTTTGAACCTGATCATGTGTCTGAACCATAGGATAGAGCCAATTTAGCAATTATGCCACGTGATCTGTCCTCTTATGAATAGGGCGGGGCATGGGGTCCCATGCTCACTTGTTCCTTTTACAATGCATCTGGTTTCAACAAGGTCCCCTCCATGGGCTATGCTTTCTCACAACAGAAATGTACAGAAGAAAGCTTTTGCTTTTGGTATTACTTGTTCATAGATATGCAGAGATAGAAGAGGCAGAGGATCAACCCATTCCTTTGACTATACTGTATAATCAGGGGCATGTACATTCTTGGGCCTACATAGGATTATGTCCCTATTGCTAGAATTTAATTCAACCTCTTCTAAATTTTCTGCACATGAAAATGATATAACTACATGACAATTTAAATGTTGCATTTTGAGACACAGCATGTGAGTTCAAACCGCCATTCAAAACCGAGATTTGTAATATATTTAATAAATTATTGGTACTTTTGTTTGACATTAACAAGGGATTGCCTTGCTTAATGCAGTTATTCCCAACAGATAGTGGCATTGTCTGCAGATTAGTTCCCCTTTGGAAGTATGCCAATGGTTTATTATTAGGTGAGCATACCAATTTATGCCAATACAAGAAGACACAAGATGCTATTATTAGTGTATGGAATTCAAAAAACGGGTTATTAGCATTTGTCATTACAGTTTCAGTAGTATTTCTATTAATTATATGTTCACACTTCCGGAAAATGTCATTTGGGATATGATTATGTAGCTCAACAATAAAGAGGTAGGGTATTCATACTATCAATTTTTTCTACTATCACCCTAATTATCATTGGATTAGAGAAAAAATTGAATGAAGAAAGAGAAAAAAAAAACAACTTTTGAATCTAATAGTGATTAAAGTGATAGTAGAAAAAATTGATAATATGAATATCTTATCTCATAAATAAGACATACATAAAAGTACAAACAATTATCTATGGTAGTTCATGTGGGTTAACTCATTTTTTCACACAACTATTGTGGCAAAGAATAATATTCAAAAAGAAGAAGAAAAAAGACAGTGGTAGGGAGGTCAAGATCCAACACTCAGCATGGGTTTAATGATCTAGGCTTGGTGTTATTAAGACATGATTTAGTGAAGTAATGATTAATCAATAATAAGTTAGACATCAATCAAGGATACAAATATTTTCTATATTTCCAAGATTAACACACTGGTTTTTTATTTTTTATTTTGTCTTCATTAATTTCCTTAGCTTGCACATGGCTCCCTTACCTACAACACAAAGCAATTTCTTAGATGCAAAAGTGTTAAATTGAAATTATAATTTTACTATAAAGGCTTGTCAACAACCATAAAGCCCACAACAATGCTTGCCTTCTTCCCCGCCCAGCCCACTGTATTATCCTCAAATAATTATTTGATCTAAAACATGCGAAAGGCTATTAACTCGAAATTACAGTTATGGTTATTAAGCCCAACAAAAGCCTTCTTTTTAAAATGTAGAACAAAACAAATAACATTATTTTATTAATTATTGATTATAGTTACTATAATCTACGCAAGGGTAGTATCGGTCCCTCTCCTGCTAAAATTGTTTCTTTAGTAGTAATATTTTTTTTGAATACACCTTAGCAGTAATATTAAGTTGCCCATACCTCCCTCCAATCACCACAAAAACATAATGAATAAAAGATGCCATATACTGAAGATTGCAAGGTATTTAGTGGTTAGCCTTAGTGCGGCACAAAATAATTGGTTCACTTGCTCTGTCTTTGATCTAATCTTGACCTGACTCATAAATACTCATTTTTTTTGAACTGGATTTAATACTGACTCACTTTATTTGGGTCAGGTTTTAGACCTGACTCATTTAATAATTAACTCATTGACCCAAAACTTGACTCATACCCATTATGTAAAAAAAAATGAAACAAAATCACAATTACATTAAAAGAAAAGTTTTAACGTAAAACAATTACATCAAAAATTTTTACGGAAAATATTTCAACAAAAAAATTTCGCAAAAAATTTTGACAAAAAATATTTTCATCGATATTTGTGACTAAAAACATTTCTGTAAAAAAACTTTGACGGAATATTTTTTTTGTCAACTTTTTTTACGGAATTAAGATTTCATCAAAATATTTCACAAAAAAATATATTCATCAAAAATTTCGACAAAACACATTTCCATCGAAATTTTTTGACCTAAAAAAATTTCATCAAAATTCTTTACAGATTTCAAATTTTGGCGAAAGTTTTTGACGAAAATATTATCGTTAAACTTTTTGACAAAAAAAAATTTCGTCGAAATTTTTATCGAAACACATTTCTATCGAAAATTTTTGACTAAATATTTTCGTCAAGTTTTTTGATAAAAGTTAGAGTAAACACCCTTTTTAGTCCCTGTCAATATCTACGAAGTCCTTTTTAGTCCCTGGCAATAAAAAAGGACCAAATTAGTCCCTGAAATTACAAAAAAAGGGGCCATGTTAGTCCTTATGTCAACTCCCAAATATGTAGAGTGGCCCTTTCTTGTACTTTCAGGGACCAATTTGGTCCTTTTTTATTGTCAGGGACTGAAAAGGACTTCGTAGATATATCCAGGGACTAAAAAGGGTGTTTACTCTAAAAAATATTTCCATCAAAATTTTCAATCAAACACATTTCTGTAAAAAAAATTCGTAAAAATTTTTGACAAAAAATATTTCGATAAAAAAATTTGACGGAAAAAATATTCTCTCAAAATTCTTTAGAGAATCTAAATTTCGTCGAAAGTTCGAATGAAACATTTCCCTCAACACAATTTCCATCGAAAATTTCGACGAAACACATTTCCATCAAAAAAATTTGACTGAAAAAAATTTCATCAAAATTCTTTACAAATTTCAAATTTCGGTGAAAGTTTCCGACGGAAAAAATTTCGTTAAAATTTTGGACAAAAAAAAAATTCATCAAGATTTTTAGCGAAACACATTTCCATCAAAAATTTTCAATTAAATATTTTCGTCAAGTTTTTTGATAAAAAATATTTCCATCAAAATTTTCAACGGAACACATTTCTGTAAAAAAAATTCGTAAAAATTTTTAACCAAAAATATTTCGATAAAAAATTTTGACGAAAAAAATATTCTGTCAAAATTCTTTAGAGAATCTAAATTTTGTCGAAAGTTTCAAATCAAACATTTCCCTCGAAACAACTTCTGTCGAAATTTTCGTCAGAACATATTCCCATCGAAATTTTGAACGAAAAACATTCCGTCAAAATTTTTAACAGAAATTTTTTTTGTATAAAACATTTGATGGAAGAAATTATTTTCGTCAAAACTTTTGACGGAAACTATATTACGATAGAAAATTTATTTTTGTAAAATTTTCATTAGAGAAAATATTTCGTCGCTTTTCAACAAAAAGTATTCCGACGAAAAAAAAATTTGTGACGAAATTTTTGTCATTTGCAACGTAAAAATTTCGACAAAATTTTGTGAGGAAACCAAGTCAAAAACCGGCCAGGTCAGATTTGACCCACTTCAGAAACCAAGTCAGGTCAGATCTGATCCAGTTCTGAACTAGTTC